AGAATGTCTGGGGAACCAAGGTCAGGAGTCACTGGCCTACTGGATTTAAGCCATTGTGATAAGCTATCTGCCCATCTTTGTTTTCGTTGCTCCTTATTCTGTGTGTGTGTTTGTGTGTGTGTGTGTGTGTGTGTGTGTGTGTGTGTGAATGTAAGTAAGCTTTACCAGCTCAAAAATAAATATATGCAGTCCCTTTCTCCCTCAAATAAAATACATTGCTTATATTTTGCTCTGTGCTAAGTGAACTACATGAATAAAATCAAGACAAGTTTCCATAACACAAATATTAACCACATTCTCAGACTTTATTTAGCATTGGATAAGTATTAAACCTACTTACTCTCAGAAACATGAAGCATTTTGTAGCTTCAGCCATTTTACTTATATGGTGGACACGGTATTTTTCTTATCTGGGACCTTGGGCTATTATTAAATCTGTCAGATCTTATAACTATAGAGTTGTCAGGCCCAATTTATGCTTAGGTGGGAAATCTACAAGAAAAGCCTAAGAGCTGCAGGAAGAAGGAACACTTTGATGCAAATAATGCCATCTTCCGGATAAAATGCTAAGCAACATTTTCCAAATAATTGCCAGCAAGCCTCTGTTTGCACCAGCTGTTTTCCATGTGATACATGTCCCCAGTAGTAATCTGGTATGAACCACACTGCATCTTGTCCGTCCTCTTCTAATGGTGCATCCACTGCTGTGACTAAATCTTTGAAGGTTTTCACTTTAAAAGGGTACCAAACATTATGTCACATCTCATGGTATCTGTACAAGCATATCATACTGGCTCTTAATCTTCCCACTGCCCTATTTATTCAGAGAAGAGCTGCTATTTTTATTTTTAATTACTAGCAAAAAGTCCTTCATCAAGATAGATGAAATATCCAAACATGAATTTTATTTTATTTTTTTAAAAAACGAATGCTTTTCTCATTGCTTCTTGGCAACCAGGTTCCTGCTATCCTTGTTGCCAATGAGCACTTAATTATTAATGTAACCAGAAAAAAAGGTTGAAAATGTTCTCTTGTTCATTCTAGTGACAATTTTGATGTTGCACCTTGCAAATACTTGTAAAAGTACAGAGGACAAAACCTAGTCTTGATATAAAAATGTCATAAAACCTGAAAAATTCCTCTCAAGCATACCTCTAATGTTATATTTTTCCAACTGAAAGGTAACAGGAAGTACTTATTTCCTTGGAACTGCAACATGGAAACTACTTGTTATATAACACATTGCCCCAAATGTAACTAATTAGAGGCAACCTTCTCATAACTAATTGCTAGCTCTGTGAAATATGTACAGTGGTGTCTCGACTTACAAACTTAATCTGTTCCAGAAGATGATCATAACTTGAAATGGTCCTAAGTCGAAGTACAATTTCTCATAGGAATGCATTGGAACACGATGAATCAGTTCCAGACCAAAACAAAAAACTATGAAAAACAAAAAACAAAAACACTGCAAGCCCCATCGGAACGTTTCGGGGCTGAAAAAATAAACACCAAAACCAAACAAACAAAAACAAATGCAAGCCCCATCAGAACGCGCTGGGGCTGAAAAAGAAATCACCGAAAAACAAAACAAAATAGCAAGCTTCATTGGAATGTGCTGCAGCTGAAAATAATCACCAAAAACAACAACAACACATGAAGCTGCATCGGAACACGCTGGGGTTGAAACACTCACACACAAAACAAACAAACAGAGCAAGCCCCATTGGAACATGCTGGGGCTGAAAAAACACACACACCAAAACACACAAAAAAATCACAACACAGAAACATAACCCCCCCAGCCCAAACCCACCCTGCAAAACCCTGTATGTACTCACTCAGAAGCAGAAAAAAGCACCAGGCAGTCTGAAGCCTCTCTGCAAACGCACACTATCTAACCATTGGGGCGAAAGAGCTACAAAGAAGCAGCCTCTTTGCCAAGCAATGGTTAGTAATTTAAATTTCCCACCATTTCCCCACCTTTTTTCTGGTCGTAACTCGAAGCTCCGGTTGCAAGGAGAAGCAAAATTTTGCAGCCAGAGCTGGTCGTAACTCAAAATGATTGTAAGTTGGAATGTTTGTAAGTCGAGGTACCACTGTATAGAAAAAAAGACCTTCGTAACAATGGCCTTTGCTGAGTGCAGCACATCTCTATGTATTCTACATACAGAGACATTTTAAATCCATCTGTAGGATGCTGATCCTAACCATGCCTAAGGTTACATTGCATACCTACCATAGAAGAGGGCAAAGTGATGCCTACAGACTATCTGTATTTATGCTCCTGGCCTCCTTAATGCCCCCCCTCCCCGGTTAAAATTATATCTGAATTATTTATTCATTTATTTATTTTGCTTTCTTCAGGAGCAGAATTTTGCCATAAAATGGTGGGAAGGACCCTACCCAATCCCCCACAGCCTCTACCACCCCAAAAACTGAAGTAGAATTCCAGTATCTGCAATGAAACATACTGGAGGGGTTGCTAGACTTGAACACAAACCAAAGACAGCAGAGGATGTTTTGAGATGTGAGGCAGACCCCACCTCATGACTTAAATATATATATAATTGCAGTCATTAACAATTTGTTAATCTTTAACAATATTCCATTGTTGACCTTCTGCCTGGGGCAGATGACTTTCCTCATCCTGAGAAGACTATCATAGTTTTCATTGAAGCCACTAGATCCAGCCGCTAAGAATTATTCCTATTTGCATAGTCCAAGAATGATTCCATTTCTTATTTAAAAAATGAAACTAACTTATTCGGAGTTAGAGTACTTGTTTATATAATCCAAGTCTGCCCAACTGGTAGCAACTCACCGGGCCCTGAGGGAAAAGTCTTTTCCCTCTTTGCCTCCTGAGAGCCAATGAATTCTCCAAACATAAGGACTATATTGCTCTTCATTTATTACCAGAGCCAGGTGAGTGTATGTATGTGGGAACCCAGCAGGAGCAGACATAGCCATGAGAGGTGGCAAATAAAACTAGCTAAATGGTGTCCTCAAACAAAGCTAGTCACTGACTTAGTGTACACTCAAAAGTGGACAAAGTGCAGTCTTTAGAATATATGCACCTCCCAGCCCTCTCTGAGGCTTCTCTCCACTGGACATTCCACCAGACATTACAGGGTACTTCTTGCTATAATTTTTTCTTTGTTCATTGTACACTTGAATCAGGATGAGACAAGTCACACAGCTGTCAGCATACATATAGTTTTCTTTTTCTTTCTTTCTTTTTTTTTTTTGAAAAATGAACCCCATTGTAGCTGTCAGCATACATATAGTTTTCTTTTTTTGAAAAATGAACCCCATTGATTGGCAAACTTTCAGCTCTGGAAAAAATGTGTTAGTACATGAAACAAGCAAAAGAGTGGCACTGGCCATTTAAAAGAAGATCTGTGACTAATTCTGGGTATCTCAGCTGCTGAGATTCTTTTTGCAGAAAAGCCAAAAAAAAAAAAAAAACACCAGTGGTTTCTACTGTTATTCTGATAGGAAATTTGCATGTATTTCCAGAAGCTTTATTCATATACCTATGGATTAGAAATTGGACTTGTCTTCCTATCTATTTTGAATGCATACTCCTTCCCTGCCATTATCTGTTCTCTCATATGCTAGATAGCACATACAAGTTCATCCATCAAAATAAGACTCACTTACAAACTCAAATTGCAAAATCATGTGAATAATGTTGTTTCCGTCCAAACCTAAGGTCTTTCCTGCATCACAGCCTGTATTGCATGCATGGTGGAAAGTCTGTGACTGTGCAAAGACAACACAACAAACATACTTCCTCTTTTATTTTTAACAAAGGATCAGGCAGGAGATGATGTAAAAGACATCTGCTAGAGACCTGTGAAAACAATGAGAGGGGCAAAGTCTGACTAGTTATGCTACGGTGAGAGTCACCCACCTTTGAAAGACATCAATATGAATTGTGAGACTCATTCTGTATGCTTAAAATGCAACTTTATAAATGACCTTTCACTGTGCAACCAATGGGGATGCCCAGTAGAGAAGTAAATATCCATCTAAGGCTTCATTCCATAGAAGTGATGATGTTACTAAATTCTTTCTCGATAAGACATGTGAACGTATGTAGGTAATGAAAACAGGAAAATAGTCTCCTAGGTGCTGCGGATATGGTATGGGAAGGTAGAGAAAAAACAAAAGCATCTCAAAAGGAGAACTTTCAGAGATAGTAACTTTTCAGGAAAAACAACAATTATCCATTGCTCAATAATTTGCAACTCTGGGGTTCCAGTTAACGATGCAAAAGGCAGCCGTTTCCTCCCTGCCTGTCTATCAGCAATGTAGAGCTTGTGTGTACTTCTTCTGCCTCTGTAGGGCACACTTTGCACTAGCAGTTCAAGAAATCTCTTACACTTCCAGTATTGCTCCACAACTGATTTTTAATGCAAATGTACTACTGTAGTGAAGGACATTTGTCATTCTTAATTATATGTCCACAGGATAGTATTTTTACTAGCATTCCCACTGTTTATTACTATTGCTGCTATACAGCAGTAGGACAGTCTACCAAAATTTGTGAATTTACTTTTCTCACCATAGCGTAATGCATTTCATTTTATTTTAATTTCTTTGCTATTTCACTGGCTCTAGTCTCGCCATCCTCTGAATGGTTGTCCAATAAAGCAATGTGTTGACCGGGTAGGAAGAGGAAGTCACATGCCAGAGATGGCTAACATTTTATAGTAAAGAATGGCTAAAGACTTGAAAATCTGGAATTCTCAGTAGTGTATCCATTGTACTATTTTCCATATTTAGGCTTCTTTTCACTTTACATTTCTAAGCATTATGCAGTGGGGGATGAGGGAGTCTTCTTGAATAAATTGCCCACATGGACTATAGTTAATATAACAATGCTAAAATATCTTGCCTATGCAACCCTCCCTCAACTTCTGTGATGGGATTGTTTCATTGTACATCTTCAGTAACAGGTTGTAAGGTTTCAAAAATAAATTAAATTTCCTTACCTACAGATTATTGCACTTCAGTTTCCTATCCACTGCAGCAACGTCCAATTACCACTTTAAAGAACACGGAGAAAATGAAACAGCTATGTATCTGAAAGCTAAAAATCTCCTCTCCCCTGAAGCAACAGGAGGAAAACACGATGAAACCACTTCCTGTTCAAAGACGTTACACACTCTACAGTCAGTCTACATGCAGTTTTACATATAAGAATCAAATGCAAAGCATTACCAGCAAGTTGTCAAGCATAAATGCTATTTAAAGTAAACTTTAGTACACTTTTGGGCAAACAATGTTACCAAAAAGGAAATGCAAGGCGGAATTAGTGTAGCTTAAGTTGTAACAACTTCTCTTTCTTCTGCTTTCTGTAGTGAAGAAACCTACTTCAGCATGTTGGAGGCAGATACAGAATCCTATTGACTTCATCCACTTGACTTAGATTCGCTACCTACAGCAAGTTGCTTATGTTTCAGTATCTGAAAAGTGCCATCATATCACTCCTCAGTCTTCTTTTCTCAAGTCTAAACACGCCCAATTCTTTTAGCCTTTCCTCATAAAGCTTGGTTTCCAACTCCCTGATTATCCTTGTCATTCCTCATAAAGCTCCAATTTATCAGCATCTTTCTTGAAGCATGGTGTCCACACAGTACTCAAGGTGAGGCCTAACCAGTGCTGAATAGAGGGGGACTAGCACCTCATGGGATTTGGAAACTATACTTCCATTACTGCAGCCTAAAACATTTGCCTTTTTTGTATTTTTGTAGCCACATCATACTGTTGGCTCATATTTAGCTTGTGATCTATGACAATCCCAAGATCCTTCTCGCTCGTAGTTTTGCTGAGCCAGGTATCCCCCCCCCCATCTTGTAACTGTGCAATTAGTTTTTTCCCCTGAGGTGCAGTACTTTGCACTTATCCCTGTTGAATTTCATTCTGTTGCTTTCCGCCCAGTGCTTCATCCTATCAAGGTCATTTTGAATTTTGTTTCTGTCTTCCAGTGTATTAGCTATTCAGTCCAATTTTGTATTATCTGCAAATTTGACATGCATTCCCCATCTTTCCTTATCCAAGTCATTAATAAAAATATTAAAGAGCACTGGGCCCAGGACTGAGCTTTGGGGTACCCCACCTGTTACCTCCTCCCAGTTAGAGAAGGACCCATTAATCATTACCCTCTGAGTATGATTCTGTAGCCAACTGTGTATCCACTGGGCATTTGATCTATCCAACCCACACCTAGTTAGCTTGCTAATCAGGATATCATGGGACACTTTGTCAAAAGCTTTGCTAAAGTCAAGATATACATCTACAGCATTCCCTCTGTCTGTCATGGAGGTGACCTGATTGAAAAATGAGATCAAATTGGTTTGGCAAGATTTGTTCTAGATAAATCTGTGTTGGCTTCTAGTTATTACTGCATTGTTTTCTAGGTGCTTGCACAATGACCACTTTATGAACTGTTCCAGAATTTTCTCTGGGATTGATGTCAGGCTGACTGGCCTGTAGTTCCCAAGTTCCCCTTTTTTTGACGTTTTTGAAGGGTAACACTAGCCCTCCTCCAATCCTCTGACACTTCACTGTTTCCTATGATTATAAGAAAATAATGGATAGTGGTTCTGAGAGTTCATAAGCCAGTTCCTTCAGTACTCTTGGATGCAGTTCATCTGGCCCAGGAGATTTTAACTTGTTCAAGGTGGTAAGGTATTCCTTGACTATCTGTTTATCTATCTCCTGATGCAATCCTGTCCCCCCCCCCCTTGCACTTCCAATTTGTTTGGAAGTTCATAGCCTGTCTTATGGGAAAAGACTGAAGTAAAATAGGAATTGAGCACCTCTGCCTTTTCTTTGTCCTCTGTTATCATTTTTTTCATCTCCATTGCGGAGCTGTGACACTATGTCTTTTGTTTGTCTTTTGCTACTCACATACTTGAAGAATGCTCTTTTTTATTGCTTTTAGTGTCTCTAGCTAACCTCAGCTCATTCTCAGCTGTTGCCCTCCTAATGCCATCCCTGCATTTCCTTGCCACTTGTCTATACTCATCCTCTGTGGCCTGGCATTCTTTTCACTTCCTGTACATCTCTTTTTTGGTTTTTAGGTCCTCCCTGAGCTTTTTATGAAGCCACACTGGCCTTTTTCTGCCACCTCCCACCTTTTGTTCTTGTTAGAATTCTTTGTAGTTTTGCCTTTAGAATTTATTCTTTTAGAAGCTCCCACCCTCCTTGGACTCCTTTTCTTGGTAGGATCTCCTGCCACGGGACTTTACTTATTTTCATTCTGAGATTATTAAAATTGGCTTTTTAAAAAGCCAGCATAGATGTGTGGCTATACTCTGATTTCATTTCCTTTGAAATCAAGAATTCTAGAAGGACATGGTCACTCTCTCCTAGAGTTCCCCTTACTACCACTTCCCCATCAAGTCATCTCTGTTGGTCAGAATCAAGTCAAGGAGAGCAAATCCTCTAGTTTCTTTCTCCATTTTTTTGTAGGAGAACATTATCAGCCACACGAGCCAGTAATTTATTGGAAGGGCAATACCTGACAGAATTGTCAGTGGTGCAAGTTAAGTCTAAGGACTACAAAGCCCACTTGACCTTTTCACAATAATATCTGAGAGTACCAGGGTGTTCTTATGTGGGCAGACCTGCGAGAAGGAGTGTTGTATCATGGCTAGCTGAATTTGGACTCTTCAGCCCATTTTAGCATGTGCAAACTCCTGATTGCTCTCTGTCCAAGCTTACACGTGTGTTTTCGAACCCGTGTTTGCGACACCCCTTACTACCACTTCCCCATCAAGTCATCTCTGTTGGTCAGAATCAAGTCAAGGAGAGCAAATCCTCTAGTTTCTTTCTCCATTTTTTTGTAGGAGAACATTATCAGCCACACGAGCCAGTAATTTATTGGAAGGGCAATACCTGACAGAATTTGTCTCCCAACATATACCTGGATAACTGAAATCTCCCATCAATACTACATTGTGTCTCTTTGAAAACCCTGCAATTTGTTTTTCAAAAGTGTCATCCACTTCCTCTCTTTGATTGGGCAGTCGGTAGTAAACTCCAATTACTAAGTTCCTTTTGTTTTTTGCCGCAACTAGATTGATCCAGATGCTCTCAATGGGACAGCCACTCTCCTCCTCCTGTATTTCTGTGTAGGAATGCATATTTTTACATATACTGCAACTCCATCTCCCTTTTTATTCTCTCTGTTCTTTTTGATCAGTTTATATCCCTCAATTGCTGTATTCCAGTCATGGGAGTCATCCCACCAAGTTTCAGTTATTCCTATCAAGTCATACTTACCCTCCTGAATTAAAATTTTCTGTTCTTCTTGTTTGTGTCCCATACTCTTGGCATTCATATACAGACACCGGAGGGTGTATGATTTGTGGCCTTTTTGTCTTTGTATATATTTATGATTATTATGATGATGATGATTGTTATGTTTATTATTTTGATTATTATTGTTCATGTTATTATTGTTGCCCTTTTGATCAGTTAGGTCCATTCCTCTTATTGTGTATAAGGCTTCATCTACCCTTACTTGCATCTCCCTCCCCCTTCCAATTCAGTTTAAAGCCCTCCTGATGAAGTTCTTCATGCTGTGGCCAAACACATTCTTCCCAGTCCTTGTTAGATGCAAACCATCTCTTGCTAGCAGTCCTTCCAGGAAGCATAGCCCATGGTCCCAAGAAACAAATCCGTCTCATCGACACCACCTTCATATCCAGTCATTCACCCAGTGGATCTTCCTTTCTCTTTCGATTCCTCTTCTGAGCACCAGTGGGATGGAAGAAAAAAAATAATCTGGGCCCCAAGGTCATTGAGTTACCTTGCCAGAGATGAGTTCTTAGTCATCCTGTTTACAACCTGGAAGGGAGGGGGGAAGGAATCATCTGAAAATGGTGTTGCTCTCAGAAAAAAACAACTGTTTCCAATTAGTGGAGAAAACTGTAAAGCAACAACACTGGTACAGCAACTGTAACCTCAGATTCATGAGGATACTGTGCTGTAAAACAGATAGAAGTGCTTTGTACAGATCACTGACATCATAGCCATACCTGTGTCACATCTAATAATAGCACTAAACTCTTTCTATTGTGCATCAGTACTGAACAGTGAAAACTAGTAACGTTTCATCACTAAAGATGGGGGTAATTGTATTCATATCTGAATAGGAATATCACCTCACAGGTGGAGATAATGAGCGTCTGGCTCCCTTGGACTGGATGATCCACTCATGATTCCGCTGCTGTCGCGAGCTCAATGGAGCCATCCTATCACTCTGTTGCTTGCAGTAGATTAGCCAGTCCTGCCAGAAGGTTGGATGATGAGCCTCTCTGCCAGGTTGCAGAGTGGCTAATCCATCATGAGCAATGGAGTGAACATGAAGTGTAAGAATGAATTGCTGGAGACCAAGACCAAGACCATCCACACTCTCGTATTCCAGTCACCATGTATGGGAATGAAAGCTGGACAATAAAGCAAACATGAAAAGAAAAGAAAAGAGAAAAACGCAATTTGATCTATTTGAAATATGACACTGGAAGAGAGCCTTACTCTGGACTGTCAAAAAGACAACAAGTGAGTCCTAGAGAAAATCAAGCCTGAACTATTGCTGGAAGCAGAAATGATGAAACTGAGGCTGTCCTACTTTAAGCACATCACAAGAAGGCAAAAATATCTGCAAAAAACAATATTGCTGGGAAAGGCAGCAGGAAAAGAGGAAAACCAAATACAAGAGGAATTAATTCCCTGAAGGAAACCACAACCTGAGCAGGGCTGCTGAAGACAGGAAATTTGGAAATCATTCATTTATAGGGTCACCATAAATTTGGAGGTGACTTGATGGCACGTAGCAACATCCTGCAATTTGGTTGTTATAGGTTTTTCAGACTGTTCAGCCATGTTCTGGAGGTTTTTCTTCCTGACATTTTGCCAGTCTCTGTGGCCGGCATCTTCA